AAAGGGATTGGGGGGGGGGGGGGGGGTTGCAAAGACACAGGGAGAGGAACCAACCTTGAGGTTGTTGACTTTGCTCGTGTAGTAGGCGCGATCATCCAAGGCCATGTCGGTTGCCGAGCTGACGACAACATTGTGATGCTCGTGCTCATCCTCATGATCATCCTCCTGGCGAGGTGAGGAAGCGTGAGTATGGACGTGGGCATGAGCGTGGTGGTCTGCAGGTAAGATCAGGCGCAGATCGGTACCAACTTCAAGATGGCGCGCGGCCACAATATTGTCGGCCATGGCGCTGAATAGACAAGAAAGCACCTAGTCACAGCCACCGAGCCAGATGAGTGATGACCGATGTGTAAAGCCATAAAGGTTTGGCAACGTAGCAAAGGGCAAGGCAGCGAGAAAGACAACCGCAAAGCAAATCAAAAGGCAACAACCAAATAAATAAATAAAAAACGGGCAACGCCAAGCACAAGCACAGCCAGGTAACAACCAGGAAGGCCTTCACCAGCGCGAGCAGGAGCAGGAGCAGGAGCAGGAGCAGGGCCGAGCACCCAAAAGAGAGAAAAAACCGTTAAAATCCCTCAAATGCAAAAAAAAACGGTCAAATCACTCAAAATCAAGCCGGTGTGGACTGCCGTTTTTTTTGCGGGCAGGGCGGCGGGTGGCAAGCGCGTGTGACGTGGCATCGCCCTCTCCCTTCCATTCCCCTTGCCCACCCCACTCGCGGTACTCGAGAAGGCGAGGTCAGGGCCCTAGGCACCCGCTGCCATCTTGTGTCTGAGACAAGGAGCCAAGGCATCGGGCCGTCGCCAACAGCAGTTTTTACCAACAACAGCGGGCGGGACCAGTAAAATGGAACGGGTGGTCGGGGTTGCCGTTTTCCTCTGTTGTATTTTGCTGTTGGCTCTTGTTGTTGATTAGTGCTCTACTGTTGTCGCGGCTCTTCGTAGTAAGCGCAGTTTTAATTACAGAAGTCGCAGTATTGTTATGATTTAAAGTCATAGTAAATGCAGATAATATCTGACTTTGTGTAGGTTCTCGCACGCATGAAGGATGGGCTTTGTATTGATGACTGAACATTTTTGTGTTCTCTAACGATACAAAACTCCAAACCAACCAAAAAGCTTGACGGCAATCATCTGACAAAAAGTAAGTGTAATGATAATCATACTTTGTATATACATTAATGTGACTGAAGTTACACTTGATTGTTAAGAAGCCGCGAACGGCGAAATGAATCAGCGTTTGGCAGCGCGATCGGCGGTCATGGGAACTCGAGCGCTTGCGGTGCGGCAACCAGCGGGGATGGAAAAAGGCATGCGTAAAGTCTGGCTCGATGGTCTCGTTTCATCCTTGTTGAGCCGCAATGCACAGTGAGTCGGTGCATTCATTCATCTACGTTTTTGGAAGAGTAGCAGGCGTCTACCTATGGCGAAGTTTGCTCAAAAGTCGACGGCACATCTACCTATGGCGTTGCGCGGATGGAATGGTTCCTGTGCATCATGCGGCAATCGAAGCCGGCTCTACACTCCAACGCCAACCCCCATATATACCGTCGCCCAATTCGACGCGACGAAGATACGCTTCTACCGTGGTTCGAAAAGAGCCGACCACACGCCGCATGACCCACACACTGCAGATTCAGCCCTTTGCCCTCTCTCGACATTGGCCAGGCCCTCCTATTCCAGCCCGCCGTGCCCGCTACCCAAACCCCGCCTCGCCTTCCAACGATCATTGATGATCGTGTTGTGCCGACTCCTCACTACTACGAGCTTGAATTCCCTCCATTGGACCTTGAGAATGCTCGCTTGAGCTCTCCCTCCCTCTCTCTTTTTAAATCTCTCTCTAAATCTCTCTCTACCCTCTCTTTAAAGCTCTCGCTCCAATCCTCTCTCACCACTCTACCTTTCAAAGCTCTTATCTCTCTAAATCTCTCTCTCTCTCTTTAAATGTCTCCACTGCGTTCATTTCACAGCGCGTGTAAGTTTTGTGTGTTATCGACACAGACGCGCATGTGTGTGTGTGTTTGTGTGTGTGTGTGTGTGTGTGTAGAGAGAGAGAGAGGAAAAAAAAAAAAAAGGTTTCAGCAAGGGCAGCGTCCAGGATCAAGAGGCGGGGAGAGGATGATCAACGGGTCACTGACGGCGGGGGAGGGGATGGAACGGGGGGGGGTTGGTTGAGCGTGCATTGACTCATGATCTTGTGGCTGATGGCCTGGGTGCGGGGGTTAGGATTTTGTATTGGTGGGCTTGTTGTTGTCGCCGCCCTTTGGATCAGCACCATGACGTAGGTGGTGCCCTCCGTGCCTGTTCATGCCGTGGTCCGCTGATCGGGTTTCGGGGTGCCGTTGGCGGCTCTGGATCTCGCGCTCGTTGGAGCTTGCACGTCTAATGCCGTGGCTCTTTCTTTGGTGTGTGCGCGCAGGACCGTCTTTGTGAACAATCTGCCCTGGACAGCCACCAGCGAGGATGTCAACCAGTTTGTCCAGGATGCTGGCTTCTCCGGCCTCTTTGCCAAGGTGCTCATGCGGTCCGATGGTCGCTCCAAGGGCTGTGCCCTCCTCGATTGCGGCAACGAGTCGCTCGCCCAAGCCGGTACGGCCCATGTTTTTGTTTTTCATCCTCTGTGAATCACCCTTGCCTAGCCGACGCACCACCCTTTGCTCCCATGCCCATGGGCAGTGATGGTGGTTTTTTTTCTTCTTCTCCTGTCCTTCTCTTCTCTTTCATTCTTGATCGGCGGTGGTTGATGGCTCACGCGGGACAAACCCGGATTGGTTGCAGTGATTGCCCGCTGCAACGGTGCCGAGTTCCTGGGCCGCCCTCTGCAGGTCCGACTCGATCGCCCCCCACCACAACGCGAGCCCCAGGTGGCGCCCGCGGCCGCCGCTGCCCCCGCCAACCCCGGCTACTACAAGTATTCGGGTGGCAACAAAACTAGCCTCACCCGTGCCTATGGCGGTGAAGAGTACGTACCCGATCCCTACCCCGTGTCTTTCTCATCGCCCCTTCAAGCCACATGACCCTCGCCACCCCTTTTGACTCGACAAACTTAAAACAGCCCCACCCATTCTTTCTTTTTCTTTTTGTTGCCTCACTGCCCTTGTTGCATCGCCTTTGCGTTTTCAGGGGTAGCACCGTGTACGTCGGCAACCTGCCTTGGACCGTGACCTGGCATGCTCTGAAGGACCACATGCGTCAAGCCGGCGAGGTGGTGCACGCCGAGATCCTTCGTGGCGGCGACGGTCGCTCCAAGGGCAGTGGCCTCGTCCGCTACGCGACGGCCCAGGATGCTCAGACCGCCATCTCCATCCTCCATGACATGGAGCTTGAAGGCCGCAAGCTTGTGGTCCGTGAGGACCGTGATGAGCTCAAGTACCGCAGGTTTGTGTGTACCCCAAGACCGCCATCCACCACCCTCCTTCAGCTCAGTCTCATACGCGACCCAATTTTCCCTCCTACGCCCCTTTTTCCCTCCTACGCCCGTTGCGCAGCGGTGCGAGCGTGTATGTCGGCAACCTCCCCTTTACCGTCTCGTGGCAGGTGCTCAAGGACTTTCTGCGCGCCCACGGCGAGGTGGGTGCCCCTTGATTTTTTTTTTTTTTTCGAGCTCTCGTGGCTGCAGCAGTGGCCGCATGGAAGGATTAGGCGGTTGCACCATTTCAACCCCAAAGCGCTCATGTTGTCGACACTAACTTTGCGTCAAATATGGCGCATTGAACTCTTAGGTCATGCACGTTGACATGCTGACCGCCCCAGATGGTCGCTCCAAGGGCGCTGCGCTCGTTCGCTTTGCCAACCAGGCCGCGGCAGACAATGGTACGTTCAAAGACTGTTCCCCGCTTCTCTCCTCGTGTCTCACGCCGTGCTCCCAGCATACCTGCGATTCGCTGGCTCATACCCGGCGCTTTGCTGTCGCTGCTGACACTCTCTGTCTGTTTGCCACAGCCATTGAGGCCCTGAACGGCATTGAATTTGAGGGTCGCGAGCTGGTGGTGCGCGCAGACCGCCACGAAAACTAGGTTCAAAAGGGCAAGCGCGTCCCCTGAGTCTGTGCAGCCAAGTGCCAAAGAGACGCTCGCGGATGCCAGTGTGCGTGAATTTTCTTCCCGGTCCTCCTTCTCATGTTCCTTCAAGGCTTCCTTGGTGTGGGTGCAAGGGGTGTTGTTGCCCTGTGGCCCAACTTGGTGTTTGATCTTTGTGTGAATGTTTTCCCTGTGCTACATGGTGCATCGATCCCGACCCGACCATGTGTGTGAGGGGGCCAAACGCAAGCGCGGCACGCGTCTGGCGGAGGGTGTTGGCTGCTGGTTATACAAGCTGTGGACACAACAATCAACATGAACATAAGAAAAGCATGGCATCTACGCATGTGTTGACACCTGCATCGTGTGCATGGCCAGGGAGAGGGGGGACAACACAAGGCGCCTGCGTTCAGGCGACACCTTAAAAAAAGGAGAAGAAAAGAAGTAGGTTTCTCGTCAACTCAATTTCCTTGGGCAAATGAAAATGAACCCTTAGGGTGGTCACACGGCACCGGCACCAAGGGGAAAAAGCACGCGACGAGTTAAAACCAGAGGGCCTACGGACCGACCCACCTAAAAAGAAAAATGGGGTAATGGGATGGGGCGGGCTTAAGGCACGCACATTACACACAAGGAGAATAACCGAGGCTGGTCAAGGCGCACAAAGAGCCAACAGAGGCATTTATGCGCAAGAGTCCTTGAGGTAGGCAATGAGGTTCTCGCGGTCCGACTTCTTCTTGAGACCAGCAAAGACCATCTTGGTGCCGGGAATGTACTTCTTGGGGTTCAGGAGGTACTCGAAGAGAGTGTCCTCGCCCCAGGTGATGCCCTTGTTAATGTTGGCCTCGGAGTAAGCAAAGCCCTCGGCCTGGCCAGTCTTGCGGCCAAAGAGACCGTTGAGATTGGGGCCCTGCTTGTGGGGAGCACCCTGTGATGAAATCAAACGAGAGGGGGGGGGATGAGTCCAGGCACGTGGATACCGGTTGTGAAAATTGATCAAGATGAGACGACAAGACCCCATGAGCACGACAAGCCTGGCTGACCTTCTCGACGGTGTGGCACTGAGCGCAAGCGCGCTGGAAGATCTTCTTGCCCTTTTCGACGTCACCCATGTCTAGCGGGAAAAGGCACCACCGTGAGGTCACGCCCATGCTCGGCAAATGAAGCGAGGCGAGGGAGGGAAGCCTTTTGCAGTGCTGTTGCACTCAAAAGTCCAACACCGGCCAACGACAACGAGGAGCAAGATTGATAACAAGCTTACTGAAGGTTTAAGAGGTTGGACTGAGGGGGCAAGGTAAAATCTAACGCAAGGCCACCGCAATAGCAAATGCACAGCGGTGAGATGAACAAAAGGGCACATGCGCGACAACGCGCCCTTGACAAGGCATTGACACCATGAACAAGCACGGCAACAACCATCAATCATGGCACGGATGATCAGGCAAATCAGCTCGCAGAGGCACCAATGGCCGCATTACACCCCCTCCCCTTGCACGCCACATGTTGGCATGTGCACCTGGTGTGCATGACGAGCCCAAAGCCCAGTCACACAGTCACGCCACCAACATGACCACCACCAGCACACAGAGGGAGAGAGAGAAAGAGAGATAGTCTCATATACACACACACGCACGCGCTTTCTCTGACCGCCCCAGACCCACTGCCATTTCCCCCTAGACGAGCAGAAGAGCACACACAGCGAGCACACAGAGAGAGAGAGAGGCTTAAGGCACATGCTTACCAAGGCAGACTATAAAAAATGTGCTGACCACACACTACAACACTATCACATGGTTTTCTCTCTCTCTCTCTCTCTCTCTCTGAATTCAAAGCTCTCTTGAGTCTCTTTGAGTCTCTACGGGTAGCTGTGCACTCTGGGCTCCATCTCTCCAAAGCTCTTCTCAGTCTTCTTCTTGGCTTGGCTTGCAGGTCATTACTTGTTGGACGGCGCGACCATCTCAAGAAGCCAGCACCCTCCCCATCATCTGTGCTGACTGCCGCTGCCATTTGCATGACGCTGTGCCCTGTGGGTTTCTTGGCTCTTGCACGACGACACCATTCCCAATTCCGGGGGTCAGTTTATAGCCGAATGCCTTTCCGTTGACCCCGAAAAAACTGGCCCGAACGAAACAAGATCTCGTCAGTGTACTCACTGTTACACTTTCGAATAGCAAAGAAAGGCGTGATGTATCACACCTTGTTGCAAGCGCTTGCACCCGGTGCGAAGGTGATGCAACATTGCATACGTTTTGATTCGCCCCTCTAAAATAACTTTAAATATGCAAGGTGCGAAGCCAGTGAACATATTCACATCGGCACCAACTCACAACAGGTGTTCCAAACTTTACGCCATTTTCCGCCCGGACACACAGTCGGACGGAAAAAAATACAGCCGACCGAGCACCCGCTCCCGCTCCCGCTGCCTGCCTGCCTGCCTGCCTCGTTCTGCCCACTTGAAGGGCATTGCAAGGCGCCTGGCCTGTGTTGGTGTTGGCACAACCGGTGGAGAAACCCTTGATCGCTTGCTTTCGACCCTCTTTTTGAAAACCGGCATTATGGTTCGTCCAAGTACACCTGCTCGTGTCCCGCGCCCTCAGCGCTCCTCACGTGGCGCTGTTTTGGGCTGGTGTATAGGGAGTGCCTGCCTTTTACCGCTGGCTCAGTCGCAAGTACCCCAAATGCATTCATGATTGCAAGGAAGACAAGCCCCAGGTATGGCGCCCCTGCCGCTCCGATGCGTGACCAAGATGCGCCTCCCCCTGGCGACCGCTCATCCGCTTTGTGTCTCGGTGTGGCGCCCGCAGATGATCAATGGTGAATACGTCCCCGTGGACACCTCCCAGCCCAACCCCAATGGGGAAGAATTCGACAACCTCTACCTTGACATGAATGGTATGCATGCCCACTTGCGCTTGACCCACTGCTCCGCCGCCCTTCCTCCTTGGCTCGGCAGGCTCCTTCCCCGCACGGGCGTCGCACAACGTTTGCGGCTTTCAAACCCAAGAAATGCATCCTCACACTGGCGGGCACCCAGGTATCATTCACCCAGCTTCGCACCCAGAAGATCGTCCTCCACCGACTACAGAGGATGACATGTACCTGGCCATTGCCGAGGTTAGTCCCGCCTTTAGAGCCCTCACCACCACCCTCGTGCTCTCACACCCTACATGCCTTGTGCGCGGTACCCACAGTACCTCGAGCGCGTCTTTGCCGCCATTCGCCCCCGCAAGGTCTTGTACATGGCCATCGATGGTACGGCCGTGCTTCGCCTCGCGCACGCACTCTCGCGCTCAACTGGAATATTGACAAACACCAGCCTCAACCCTTAACGCTCGCAGGTGTGGCGCCGCGTGCCAAGATGAATCAACAGCGTTCTCGTCGTTTCAAGAGCGCCAAGGTAGCGTCACTTTGTGCTCAAACGTTCGCGCTTTGATACACGGCAAGAGTATGAGCACCAGGTCTCTGACCATTGCCATGATCCATGATCGGGCCGGTCAACCCCATATCGACGATGCCAGGAACGCGAGGATAAGGAAGCAGCCCGTGAGAAGCTCTTGAACGAGTGGCGTGCCGAAGGACGTGAATTGCCTCCTGACAAAGGGTGTGTTTGACCATGCCCCGTGCTGCTCTGCCACACGCCTACGTCCTGACGCCATGCCCAGAGGAGGGCACCGTGCCCTGCTCAATTTCCGACCCGCGCGTGTACCCATCATGGCCCATTGATGCAGACCCGAATTCGACTCCAATGTCATTACCCCTGGCACTCCCTTTATGGATCGACTGGCCGGTGCGCTACCTGTGCCTTTTGCTGTCTTCAAAAAAGCCCTCCCTGAGCCGTTGTCCTGCATTTCCAATATCGCCATTTTCACTCGAGTGTTCGGCCCTTGCTCTCCCCTTGTGCGCCGCATAGCATACCTGCGTACCTTTGTTCACCACAAGATGGACACCGACCCCGGGTGGCGCAACATCAAGGTGAGCTCGCCTAGCCATTTCGACGACACGAAACAGCACATTTTACTGCGCCCCCTTCTCACGTGCAGTTTGTGTTGACAGGTCGTGTTCAGTGACGCCAACGTGCCCGGTGAAGGCGAGCACAAGATTATGGAGTACATTCGTCTTCAGCGCGCCCAGCCCGACTACAACCCCAATACCCGGTCTGCTCCACCGATGTGCCCGTGGTCCGAGCTGAAACCTGTAACTGCCTTCCGTGCCCACTTACCAACCTGCCCTTGTACTGGCTTGCAGTCACGTCATTCACGGCCTGGATGCGGATCTTATCATGCTGGCCCTTGCCACGCACGAGCCGCATTTCACAATTTTGCGTGAGGAAGTCTTTCAGCGTAACAAAGAAGTCCTCAACATTGAAGAGCAGGTCAAGTCGGCTTTGGAAGTACGTGTCCGCGACGCTGAACCAATGGCGGCAATGGCAAACTCTTGGTGTTGAACATGAGGCGCTCATGCAAACGAAACCATGCTCACCCCGCTAGGCCGAAGCTGCCACAAACGGAGTGGAGGGCAACGCTGATGACATCTCCGATGCTGACGGCGCTGCGTACGCCAAACCCTTTCAATGCCTTCGTGTCAACGTTCTTCGCGAATATCTGGACAAGGAGATGTCCGTGGCCGATTATTCCTGCGTGGGGGGTTATGACTTGGAGCGCGTCATTGATGATTTCATCTTCATGGTCTGTCCGTCTGGCCTCGCTGCTCGCGTCCTCTGTTTCCTTTGGCTCACCTCACCTTGCTTGGGCTTGACAACTCCTTAGTGTTTCTTTGTGGGCAACGATTTCTTGCCGCACCTGCCCTCGATGGAAATTCGCGAAGGCGCCATTGATGTAAGTCACATCCAAGCCGCTCTTCTAGACCAAACATCACTCGGTGATGGTCGGTTGTTGTTGGTGTTGTTGTTGGTGTTGTTGTTGGGGTTGGTTTATCATGTTGTCGTCCACGACCTTCTTGCGTCAATGTCGGATCGGTTGTTGGGTTTTGCCTGCTTGTTTGGCCTTGCTTGGTGGTGAGAATGAGCAGCATAGCGTGGAGAGAGGAAGAACACGGCGACACGGCGCAGAAGAAGTGGATCGAGGCTGAATTGTGCATCCATTTTTTGCCTCGCCGTACCATTAGACTATCATGGAGCTATACCGTGTCGATTTTGGAAAATTTGGTGGATACCTCACGCAAAACGGCGAGGTCTGCCTAGCTTTGCAAAGCTTGCGCTCCCTGTCATATACAGACGTGCGCTTAACCATCCCATTTTGTGGCAACTGCCCCACAGGTTGACCTCGGTCGTGCCGAGATGCTCATGGCTGGCATTGCTGAAGTTGAGAATGTCATCCTGCAACGACGCCGCGTACGTCCTTGCTGCCCCGTTTCTCTGCTGGCCTTTTCTTTGTTGAATCACGCTGCCGCTGCCTTTTCAACGGCCCTTGGGTCGGATGGAGGCATTATATGACAGTGGATTAGCTTCTCTGTTCCGCTTAACAAATCTTGTGTCTTGCCTTCCTATGCCTTCTCTGTCTTTAGGAGAAAGACCTCAAGGATCAACAAAAGGTGGAGGATATTGCAAACAAAAAGACGACGCAAAAACACCTCGAGGTACGTACGTTTACTGTCCCGAGTAGGCACCACCCCGTGGCCCACCATGGGCTGTTGTCCGCTTCATCTCGACCGCCCGTCTTACATGTTGTTGCCGTGCCAACAGCTTATCCGCCAGTGCACGCAAGGTGCTCACGTGGCCCCCGTGGACCACGTGACAGCCGCCGTACGTGTGACGATGGGCCTGGCACCACACGGACTGCGCCAAACGCGCCTAAACCCATTCTCACCCTGATCCCCTGCACGCCTTTAGAGCCGCCGCGAGGCACGTGTATCCGACTTGCGCTTCGACGCCAACGTGGACAATGTGACCGCAGCAGACTTTCGGTGAGCGATCCATGCGTCGGTGCAAGCAGTCAGTTGGCTCAAACAAGAGGGCACTCTTTTTAACCGGCCTGGCATGCGTGTGTTTTAGAATCAAAAATTTTGGCGTTGGAGGCAAGCGCGTGCTGCGTGGAGACGTGCGCGAGGACGACGCGCGCTTGTTGCACCTGCTGGACAAGATTCGCGCTTTTCACGATGATGATCGGCCAAACCGCCGGGCTGACTTGGAGCTGCGTGGCCTCCGCGGCCGCGAGCGTTTTACAGCCCATTGTTATTGCGAAGAGCTTGGTCTTACCCATGACTCGGCCGGCACCGAACCGAATCGGTACAGCTCCCCGCCTCCCGGCTCAATGCGGAAATCTTGCCGTGTTTGTTTTGTGGTCGTTTGTTTTGGTTTTGTTTTTGTTTTTATTTCTGTTTTGTTTTTTTGCTCTTTGCATTCTTTTGCCCCCTCATGCATCTGGCCGCTGTTCTATGGGGGCCCTTGCTTCGATGGTTGCAGATACATTTTGGTTGGTCGTCCGGATGCCGAGGACGAAAACGATGATGATGTCATTGTTGCTGATGTGAGTGAGATCCCTCTGCTGTTGCCCCCACTCACTGCCTTGTTGAAGCAGAAGAACAAGCGTGTTTGATTGTGTCGCGGGTTCTCATCGATTGTTTTGCAGGCATTTTCCGCAGCCTTGAAGGAACGAGTCCGATCCAACAACAAGATTGATAACCCAACTGATGATGTACATACTCGCACCTAACATGCGCAAGCATTGGGATGCTGTCCGTGCTTCTCTGGGCTCGTCTTGTGCTTCTAACTTTGGGTCATCCGCCGACCTGTCCTGGTCTCTAGGTGCAATTGGGCAGCCAGGGTTGGTATGGGCGCTATTATCAGCAAAAGTTTCCCCCCAACGTGGACCAGCGCCACGTCGTGAAATCCTATGTCGAGGGCTTGGTCTGGGTGTTGCGTTACTATTACCAAGGATGCAGTTCGTGGTCTTGGTTTTACCCCTACCACTATGCACCCTTTGCGCGCGATTTCACAAACCTTCAGGTCCGACCGCTTTCGGCTTTGTCATTGCGAATACACATACACAACCCATCCTCACTCTTGTGGGTCGACTTGTCCCACTTCCACTCGCGGACAACGCGTGCAGGCGTTGGACATTGTACTCCCGCCGGGGCAACCGTTTTCTCCGTTTGAGCAATTGATGGCCGTGTTCCCGCCGGCCAGCAGTCACGCTCTACCCAACGCTTTTGCGCGCCTCATGACGTACGTCTCTGAACGCACTGCCTTTGGAGAATTGAGGGCTTGGGCTGACTGTGTCATGCCGGTGCCACTCGATACAATGTGCTCCCCTTTACGTAGGGACCCAGACTCCCCCATTGCAGAATATTATCCCACCGAGTTTGAGCAAGACCTCAACGGAAAGAAATTCATGTGGCAGGCCGTGGTACTGCTGCCCTTTATCAATGTATGCCACGAACGCCCCCCGAAGCCCGGACCCCGCTCTGTGCCTCTGGTGCCTTACGTTTCGGCAGTGACGATGCCACGCTGGTTGTATCCCTTTGAATTCTGTTGGTTACATGAATGATCGCCGCTGTTTGTGTCTTTATGCATGTGTGTGTACTGCATCGTAGGAGGAACGACTGCTGACGGCTTTGCGCCCGTTGCGGGACACACTGACCCCCGAGGAAAAGCGTCGCAATGAGCGAGGCGCAGATCGCCTCTTTGTGCACCAGGTATGTCGAAACACGCTCTGGCCTGGTCTTAGCGAAGCGAGCATACCTGCAGCCTTTCATGACCCACCCACGATGCACGACACAGTCGCACCCCGCGGCGCTGCAGATGAGCCAGCTGGGTAACGGAGGAGCAAACGACGGGAGCAGACCTGCGCCACCAGCACCGACAACGAACGGGGCTGATGAGATTGAGACGGCGGAACAAACGGGCGCAGATGAGGACAAAGTGGATCTCAACGACCTGGCAGCCCAGTGCCTGCAGGCCGAGTTGGCAGGAGACCCTGAGGAGGAGCGTAGACTCAAGCAGCAGCTGGCGGCGGCCCGGCGTCAGCAGGCTGCCGAGCAGCCTGCCCCAGTGAGCTTTGATGCGGATGGGGCCGGGTTTGCGCGGGAAAACTTTGGTCACACACAGGCCTTGGCCCGCATCAGTGCGTTCCAGCGCGCGAGCTGGGAGCAGAAGCTGGAGAAGAGCCCCGTAGGCACGGAGGTGCTCGACCCGCGCTCCACCGGCGGCTTGTCTGGGCTGGTCGCGCTGGACGCGGACGGGCCACAGCTTGGAGAGCTAGTGCCGCGCTTTGATTTCCATGGCCGTGAGACCGATTCACGGTACTTGTTGACCGCGTTTGTCAACCACGTGTTGCGAGCGCTCTATTGGGTGCCGCCGTACACCCTGCACAAGCCCATGCTGTTGCCCGGGCTGAACCCGCCTGCAGCCGAACTCGGCGATCATGACCTGCCTGTTGGGCAACGGTTTGAGCGTGTCCCGCGTGAGCGCCAGCTGGACGTTGGAGCTAGTCGACGCATGATTGTCCACGGGATGGGAGGGAATTTCCCACGCACCAGTTTTCATCGCGGCCGGGGTGGCAAGCGGGGCCCCCATGATCGTGGATACGGCGGTGAAGGTGAAGGGCAGGGACCCAGTCACGAGTACAACCGTGGGTATGGCCGAGGTCGAGGCCAGGGCCACGGTTGGGGTCGGGGCCGGGGCGAAGGCCACGGCCACGGCCAAGGCCCATCGTATCCGGGCCCCATGCCTTCGCGTGGTGGACAATATGCGCCACCCATGGGCACCGGCCAGCCCGGAGGGTCATACATGTCGCGCGGCGAACCTCTGCAGCAGCGGCCCCATTACGCTCCGCCTGCTCCGCAGTCTGGCTACATGCCAGGTGGCCACGCCCAGATCGGGCCACAATACGGCCGACCCGCCGCGCCGCCGCCCCAGGCCTATGGACAGCGACCCCCCGGTCCTTCTGGGCCTGTAATGCCCCAATTTGCAGGGATGCCTGCGGGGCGTGCGCCACCCCGCGGACCGCCGGCACCATACCAACCGCCATCGTACCAAGGCCCACCCATCCGTGGTGGGTACTTGCCTCCCTACGCAGCTGGTCGGATGCCACCGCAGCAGCAGCAGCAGCAGCAGCCATATCGTCGCTAGGCGTGGCAATTGAACAAAGCTTGAGTGTTGAATCTGTCGTAAAATTTCCCTGGTGTTTTCGGCTTTTGTTTGTTTGTTGGTTTTTTCATGTGTTTCCTGCCGACCAGATTGCTTGCATGCAAGATCACCTGAAATTTTGCTTCGAATTGACATGCTTTGAGCTTTCTTCCCGTGCGGCCTGGTGCCGATAGCGATGCCAGGCCGCGAGTCACACACAACCCATTCATCCTGTTGATCAAGCTCGGAGGTAGACAAAGAGACCATTATGGTTTGCATCAAAATCTCAATTTCGAGAGGGGCAGAAGGACAAGCCATTCTGCGGGCTCACACAAGGCCAAAACAGTAGAGGCTTTTTGGCCGCGGGCCAGGAGGAAAATCATCATCACAGAAACGAAAACGGAATGATTCACGCATCAACACATCAAAAAGGGAAAGGAAGGAAAGGACGCGGGCAACAGGGGAGCATCACGCGCACTATTATACTCGAGCGGGGACTCGTGGTTGTGCAAACCCGGAAGAAAAAAGAAAGAATCTTGCTGCTGGCTGGATATGAGGGAAAGTTGTCGTCGTCGGCGAAGGATCAAGTTGTCGATGCAACGTGTGGGTTGGGAAAAAGGAAAACAAACTTGCTGATCGAGACACATGGGAAGCGGAACAGACCACCATCACTACAGACGAAGGAGAAGAAACAAACAAGGCAGGGCAGGTACAAGCACAAGAAACACCAGAGCACGTGCGTGTGCAGTGCAAATCACGCCAGCTCTCAAAGAGCAGAGCCGCGCGTCTTTAGAGGAAGGAGATGAGACCCAGCAAACCGCTTAGTTGCGGCCACCGTTGGGGTTGGGGGTCTCGAAGATGTAGTCAATCTGGTCCTGGATAGCCTGGAACTGGGCGGTAATGTCACGGCGCTGCTCGTCCTGAGCCGCAAACGTGCGCGTGCAGGCATCAGAGATGTCCGTCTCGAGTTGGTCAAAGACCAGCTCGTAGGTCTGGAGGCGCTGGTTCAACAGGTCGTTGTACCAGGCAATCATGCTGTCGAGGAAGGCATCGACCTCGCCAACCGCCTGCTGGTAGTCAGTGCAAGGCGTCAAGCCGCCGTTGTTCTCAAACTCAGACCAAGCAGCCATCCAGGCGTCGAGCTCACCAACCCAGCGGGTCCATTCGGGAGTCTCAATGCAGACACCGGGGGCACCAGCGCTACCCTTGATACCAGGTTGACCCTTGACACCAGCCTCACCAAGGAGACCCTTGAAACCAGAATCGCCGGCCACAAGACGGCCAGGAGCACCAGCATCACCGCGGAAGCCCTTGTGGCCGTCATCACCAGGGCGACCGGGGCGACCGGCAGAACCCTTGACACCGTCACGACCGTCGCGGCCGGTGAAACCGAGCTCACCCATGTCACCCTCCTGGCCAGCAAGACCAACATCACCCATGCGGCCAGTCAGACCCTTGGCACCCTTGTCACCGTCGCGACCGCGAGGACCCTGGGGTCCGGCATCACCACGAGGACCGGGGAGACCAGTCTCGCCGCGGGAACCAGGCATACCCTTGGCGCCATCGCGTCCAGGCACACCGCTGTTACCCTTGTCGCCAGTGAAGCCCATGGCACCATCACGGCCATCGGCACCATCCTCGCCAGCCTCGCCCTGCGGGCCGGTAGAGCCACGCTGACCCTTGCGGCCGGGGCGACCGTCAATACCGTCGTCACCAGGAGCACCGTCACGGCCATCGCGGCCAGAGCGACCCTTTTGACCCTTGTCGCCGCGGCCACCGTCAGTGCCGTCGCGGCCATCGGTACCGTCGCGACCATCCTCGCCGGGCTCACCGGGCTCACCAGGGCGACCCATCTCACCCTTGATGCCGGCAACACCAGAGCGACCCTTGAAGCCAGGAGCACCAGAGCGACCCTTGTCACCAGGAGCACCCTGAGTACCGTCGAAACCAGGAGCACCAGGAGCACCAGTGTCACCATCGGGGCCGACCGGGCCAGTGCGACCCTTGGCACCACGTGCACCGTTGTCACCGTCAGCACCATCAGCGCCGGGCACACCATCACGACCAGCGTTACCCTTGGCTCCAGTGAAGCCGGGGAAACCAACATCGCCGTTGTCGCCATCCAGACCATCCTCGCCCGCACGGCCCTTGAAGCCGTTGCGACCGGGGGTACCGGGAGTGCCGTCGGGACCGGGGCGGCCAGGGCGGCCAGTCAGACCAGCATCACCCTTGGCGCCGGGCAAGCCACGGTCACCGTCAACGCCGTCAGTGCCGTCCAAACCGGGGCGGCCAGTGGGACCGGGCAGGCCAGTCTCACCACGAGGACCGTTATCACCGTCGGGACCCATGGCACCCTTGGCACCCTTCTCGCCGTCGTCGCCGTCGAGACCAGGAGTGCCGACATCACCAGGCTGACCCTTGTTGCCGTTGGCGCCAGGGGCACCGGGGGCACCGGGCTGACCCTTGTTGCCGTCGCGGCCATCGCGGCCAGGCATGCCCTTCTCACCGGCTTCGCCGTCAATACCGTCGCGACCACGAGGACCCTGAGGACCCTGAGGTCCAGGCTGACCCTTGCGACCAACCGAGCCATCGCGACCGGGCATACCCTTGTCACCACGAGGACCGGCGGTACCGTCGCGACCGTTCATGCCGTCAGTGCCGTCAAGACCGCGGGGACCAGGAAGGCCAGTCTCACCGGGGGCGCCCGAATCACCGTCCTCGCCATCGTTACCAATGGCACCCTTGTCGCCGTCGCGGCCGTCGCGGCCAGGAGCACCGTCCGTACCAGTAAAGCCATCGTCACCGGCAGGGCCGGGAAGACCAACCTCACCGGGGGAGCCAGTGTCACCCTTGGCGCCGTCGCGGCCATCGCGGCCATCGCGGCCGTCGGGACCGTCAGTACCAGGCATACCCTTGTCACCGCGGGCACCATCCGTACCGTCGAGACCGGCCGTACCGTCACGGCCGGGGAAGCCACGGTCACCGGGAAGACCAGTCTCACCAGTGTTACCCTGGTCACCCTGCTCACCCTTGGCACCGGGCTGACCCTTGGGTCCAACATCACCGCGCTCACCAGCGGGACCAGGCATACCCTTGGCACCCATGCCGCCGTCGCGACCGGGAGCACCCTTGGGACCGCGAGAACCGGGAGCACCATCGCTGGCATCATCACCGGGAGCGCCGTCGGCACCGTTGTCGCCCATGTCACCGTTCAATCCGGGCTCGCCCTTGCGTCCAGGCATGCCCTTGAAGCCATCGCGGCCATCGCGACCGGCACGGCCCTTCTGGCCCTTCTCACCGGGAGCACCGCTGGTGCCGTCACGACCGTCCACACCGGCATCACCGTCAACACCGGGCAGACCAGTCTCTCCAGGCATACCCTTGTCACCGCGAGCGCCGTCGTCACCGTCGCGACCAGCCTGGCCCTTGGGTCCTTGGCGGCCAGGAGCACCCTGCACACCCTCGGCACCCTTGGGTCCGACATCTCCGGGAGTGCCCTTGGCACCGGCATCACCGTCACGGCCATCGCGACCATCCAGACCCTTGGGTCCTTGGTCACCAGCGGGTCCACGCGCACCATCTGCACCCTTGGCGCCCTTGCGGCCCGCGGGACCGGGAGCACCGTCACGGCCGGGAGTACCGTCCTCGCCATCGCGGCCAGCCACACCCTTGGGACCCTGAGGACCAGGAGAGCCAGCATCACCCTCGGCACCCTTGGCACCGGGCTGTCCGGGAACACCGTCCATACCCTTGCGGCCATCGACGCCGGGAACACCGGGGCGGCCGGGGCGGCCGTCGGCGCCGGGGGTACCGGGAGTACCGTCATCACCGGGGCGACCAGGCATGCCAGTGTCACCCTTGGCGCCCTCGCGGCCATCCGTACCAGAAACACCGCCAATGCCAGTCTCGCCGGGGCGTCCACGGTCACCGGGGCGGCCATCCAGGCCGCTGTCACCCTTGTCACCGCGGGGTCCAGCATCACCATCGGGGCCAACGCTGCCTCCCTTACCGGGAGAGCCAGGGCGGCCGGGCACACCGTTCTCACCAGGCTCGCCAGCCTCACCCTTGATACCGGGGCGGCCAGGTTGGCCCTTGAAGCCCTTGTCTCCCTTGTCGCCAGTGCGATCAACGGAAACGTAGTTCAGAATCTCCGAGCGGAGCTCATCGTAGCGGCGGGTAAAGTCATCGCGATCATCCGAGATGGTGTCCTCGAGATCAGCCTCACAGTTGCTGAGCTGCTGCAGGCGAGCATCGCGGGTGGAGTTGAAGTAAGCCATAATGTCGGTGAAGTTGTCGGCAATCATCATGCGGACAGAGTTAATACGCGTCTGGAGGCGCGCGGTCTCGTCGGCCGTGTTGTCGCAGACATCCTGCACGTCCTGCTTGTACTGATCAAAGGTGTCGAGCCACTCCTGCCAGTTCTGGATCAGGCGGTCGTGCTCGCGCGTGTCGACGCACTGGCCGCTGACACCGGCATCACCAGTGGCACCCTTGGCACCATCCATACCCTTGGGACCGGCGGGACCGGCAACACCCTTGGGACCAGCGGGACCAAAGACAGTTTGGCCCTTGTAACCCTTGTCACCGTTGCCGGCATCGCGACCATCGGCACCGTCGACACCGTCATCACCGGGAGCACCGGTAAAACCGGGGCGACCGCTGAAGCCAGTCATACCACGACGACCCTTGAGGCCCTTGCGACCCTTGAAGCCCTTGGCGCCCTTGTCACCCTTGTCACCGCTGAGGCCGCCAAGACCGGGCTCGCCACGGCCACCAACAGCACCCTTGCGGCCCTGCATGCCACGCATACCCTTGGCGCCCACATCACCGTCGGCACCGTTGGTACCATCGCGGCCATCGTCACCAGCGGGACCAGTACGACCCTTGGGACCGGGGCGGCCACTGGTGCCGTCACGGCCGGGAACACCGGGCGAACCAGGAGCACCCTCCTCACCCTTGTCACCGCGGGGACCGGGGGTACCGTCGCGACCGGGCAGACCATCCGTACCACGGAGACCATCCTCACCGGCATCACCGGCAACGCCCTTGACGCCATCACGACCGGGGGTACCGTCGCGACCGGGGGTACCATCGACACCGTCGTAGCCGGTGCAGAGGAGCTGAAGAATGTCAATGTTGTCGAGGTTGTCGAACGAGGCCTCCTGGAAGGTGTTGTCGTCCGATGAAGCAATGACGCGGAGCTCGGCCAGATCGGTACCAGAGCCGACGCCAATGGCGTACACGTCATCAACCTCAGCCTGGAGGCGGGCACCAGCGTTCTGCACCACGGAGAAGTCCTCCTGGGACTCGCCATCGGTGATAACAATCACAACGCGGCGAGCGCCAGAGTTGGAGCGATCGGTCAGGATGTTCTCGCGCACAAAGTCGAGGGCGGCACCAGTGGCGGTACCGCAAGTCAGCGTGTTGCTGGCCGTGTTGAGCGCATCCAACGCCTCGGAGGTAGTGGAGACGTAGTCGGTTAGCAGAGTGGGCTCTGAGCAAAAGGTGATGGCGGCAATACGGGAGCCAGAGCTCTCAATGTCGGCGCCGTTCACGAGGGCACGGAGGAACTGGATGGAGGTCTGGAAGTCGCGCTCCTCGATGGAGCCAGAGTTGTCCTGAATGAGGATGAGGTCGGTCGAGCCAGTGCAAGTGCCAGAGCCCGACGCACCACGAGGTCCGGGGTCACCGCGGCGGGCGGCGCCACCAGACTCACCCTTGATACCCTTGGGACCGGAGTCACCGGGGCGACCAGTCTCACCGACGTGACCCTTGAAGTAGCGAGTGTTGTCGTCGGCGCCGGGAAGGCCGGGGCGGCCAGGCGCACCCTTGTCACCGTCGGGGCCACGGGGGCCGGGAACACCGTCGGTACCGTCACGACCGGGAACACCGTCAGTACCATCGTCACCCACGGGACCGCGGCGGCCCTTCTCGCCCTGAGGTCCAGGGCGGCCAGGTCGGCCATCGGAGCCATTGTCACCAGGAGCACCATCGTCACCATCGGTACCGGGAACGCCGTCCAAACCAGACTGGCCCTTGGGGCCCTGGCGACCCGCATCACCGCGGGGACCAGCAGAGCCCTTGCGACCAGTGCTGCCATCAGTACCATCGCGACCGTTCAAGCCGGGGGCACCCATGGGGCCAGCATTACCCTTGGGTCCACGGAAACCGGGGAAGCCCATGTCACCGTTGTCACCATCGGCACCATCAGAACCATCGAAGCCACGGGCACCGGGCGCACCAGCATCACCGCGAGCACCATCGGTACCGGGGCGGCCGGGAGCGCCAGCATCACCACGGGCACCGTTGAGGCCATCCGTACCATCATCACCGGGCTTACCCTTGGGGCCGGGCACACCATCGCGGCCCTCGCAGTCGAGGATCTGGCCGATGATCTGGTTGATGAAGGAGCTGAGGTCAACAAAGGCAATGTTGTTGAAGACGTGGTCGGAAGAACCGGCAATCTGCAGAAGCTCAGACTCCGAAGCGCTGTTGCCAACACCAATGGCGGTGATGGACACGCCGAGGGCGCGGAGAGCGTCCACCGAGGGGTCAATGTTCTGCTCATCACCATCCGAGGTCTCGCCGTCAGTCATGAGAATGAGGACGCGGGCCGCAGAGGAGCGGGCGGTCGAGCCAATGTCATCGGCAGCCTCGCCAAGCGAGGTACCAGTGGCGGTAGCACCAGCCGTCTGGATCATCGAGCTCAGAGACGAGTCAATGGCTGACTGGCTGGAGGAGAAGGGGAAGACAATCTGGGTGTAGGTGGACGAGTACTCGGCCACGCCAACGCGCACGTCGTTGTCACCAGACATCAGGTTGCTGACGAGATCGCGGACGAACGAGCGCTGGAGCTCAAAGTCACGGCCGTCAATCGAGCCAGAGCCGTCGAGGAGGAAGAAGACATCAATCTCGCGGCCAACGCACACGGCGCCACCGGGCACACCGGGCAGACCGGGGGCACCAGGAGAACCCTTGGGGCCCTGGGGACCAGGGAAGCCGCGGTCACCATCGGCACCCTTGGCGCCATCGGGAGCATTGTTACCATCGGCACCAGGAGAACCGGGAGTACCGGGCATACCCTTGGCACCCATGCGACCGGTGCGGCCCTTGGGGCCCTGAAAGCCGGGGAAGCCACGGTCACCATCATCACCGTCACGGCCATCAGCTCCGGGCTGACCCTTGGCGCCGTCTTGGCCATCGCGACCACGGGGACCCGGGGCACCGGTGCGACCGGGCTGACCAGTGTTACCCTTGGCGCCATCGGTGCCATCGAGACCATCGCGGCCGGGATAACCAGGGAAGCCAGAGTCACCGGCAGGTCCGGGAAGGCCATCCTCACCAGGGGTACCATCGACGGCATCACGACCCTTGTAACCCTTGCGACCCTGGGGACCAGGGCGGCCATCGGGTCCGGGCAGACCACGGTCACCGGGGCGACCAACATCACCATCATCGGGGGTCTCCGAGCAGAAGACGTCCTCGAGGAACTGGCTGACAAAGCTAGAGGCGTTCAGCACACCAAAGTCGGCGACGCCAAAGACGCGCGCGTTGTCGCCGGCAATGTCGACGAGCTGGGACACGGTGATCTGAGAGCCAACGCCAAGAGCAAAGACCTGGACACCATGCTCACGGAGACGGCGGGCCTGCTCGGCGACGTACGACGCATCCTCCAGGCTGTTGCCGTCAGTGATGACAATGGCAAAGGCGGGGACGGAGAAGGAACGGAAGAGGGCATCGTTGTCGGAGAAGATGTCCTGGCGCGCCATGCGCAGAGCCTCGCCAGTGGCGGTACCCAGCTTGAGGTGGGGCAGGCTGTTGATGACGCTGATGAGGTACGACTCGTCGTAGCTGAAGCCGGTCTCAATCTGAGGCTCAGAGGAGAAGAGCTCAATGGCCACACGGGCGTTGGTGGAGGACACGGTGAGGGAGCGGACCAGGGCGGAGGTAAAGTCCTTCAGCAGCTGGTAGTCGCGGTCGTCGATAGAGTCCGACGAGTCGAGGATAAAGGCCACATCCGAAGCAGAGACGATGCACTCGCCTCCCTCGGGTCCGGGCAGACCGGGCACACCTTGGTCGCCCTTGGGACCTTGGGGACCGGGGAAACCGGGCTCACCCTTGACACCGGGCAGACCGGTCTCACCGGGGCGACCATCGTAACCCTTGCGGCCAACGGTACCGTCAAGACCGGGCACACCGGGGCCACCAGTGTCACCGCGCTCGCCCTTGTCGCCAACACCACCGTCAATACCATCACGGCCGTTAGGTCCAGCATCACCACGCTCACCGGGCTGGCCCTTGATGCCAGGCGTACCGGGGCGACCGGCGGGACCGGGGCGACCGGGGCGACCACGAGAACCGTCGTCACCACGAGCACCAGGGAGACCATCAGTGCCGTCCCGACCGCTGTCGCCATCGGGGCCAGGGAGACCAGTCTCACCCTGGCGACCCTTGTCGCCGTCGGGGCCAGTGCGTCCCTTGTCGCCGCGGGGGCCGGGAGCGCCATCGGTACCATCGAGACCATCGCTGCCGGCGGGGCCGGGCAAGCCAGTTTCACCAGCGCGGCCAGTGTTGCCGTCGTCACCACGCTGGCCCTTGGGGCCGGCGGCGCCGTCACGTCCGTTGGTACCGTCCGTGCCGTGGAAGCCGTCGTCACCATTGGGACCGGGCAGACCAGTCTCGCCAGTGCGGCCCTTGTCGCCGCGGGCACCGGGAGTGCCGGGAGTACCGGGAATACCATCGCGGCCGTCCAGACCATCGGTACCGGCGCGACCCTTGGGGCCCTGGGCACCGGGGTTACCGGGAGCGCCATCAGTACCATCGAAACCAGCAGGTCCTTGGTCTCCGGGGCGACCACGAGCACCGTCCTGGCCAGAGCGGCCCTTGGCGCCGGGGAAGCCCTTGAAGCCCTTGGGGCCACGGGGACCATCAGTGCCGTCGTAGCCGTCTTCGCCGCGGGGACCCATGGGACCAGGCATACCCTGGATACCCTTGATGCCCTTGGGACCATCGGTACCGTCAACACCATCACGGCCGGGAATACCGTCCTCGCCGGGAGCACCGACAGGGCCTACAGCAGCAAAGACAAGAAAAGCGGCGCGTGAGCAGAAGCGAGAAAAAAAGGGTGAGGGAACAATGTGACATCATTTGCTTTCATAGGGCAAAAGGGGTTTGGTGACTTACCGGGGGAGCCAGTTTCGCCAACAGAGCCCTTCTCGCCCTTGTTGGGGAATTGGAGGTTCAAATCAGTATCAGCCGCATCTATGGTGACGCACAGGCTCGGGTGAGTGGGCACTTCAGCGGCGTAGTAGACAAAACAGGAGGGGGTGTGATTGGTGTTGATAACTTACTGCGCACACCGCAATCGGAGCAATCGGTACCATACTCGCAGAGGTTCTGGGCGTTGGACAGAGCATCCGAAGCACCCTTGATCAGTTGACCGCCATCTTCGCAGATGCCGTTACGGGCGTAGTCGCACGAGTCGGAGCAGAGCTCGTCGATGGCGCCCTTGGACGAGGCAGCCGCAAAGGCCACCAACGTCAGCGTCACAATGGCGAGCACGCGCATTGTGGCGCTTGTCCTGGGACTGGGCACGGGGCGGTGCCGGGCGTCCCTGATAAAAGTTGGGGGTTCTAGTTGATCACGTCAAGGCGCTGCCAATGGGGAAAAAAAAAACCTAAGAAGGCGCATCACGGGCAAAACTCCGGTGAGTCTTTGCCAAAGGCAGGCAGCGATGGCATTCCACACAACAGAGCCGTGTGGTTTGGCAGGCGGCTGGTGTGGTGGGGCTGACTGTATGTAAAAGGTGTGCGGCAGGGGCGCCGCCAGATCCCGAGTAGGCTTACGTCAAGGCAACCCAAACTAGGTTGGGCTACTCGACAAGGCTACCGGCACCGACTTGGGGTCGAATGCCGTGTCTCGCAAAATGCTACTCCCGAGCCCGGCGGCCCCCCGAGCATTCAATCGATGGTGGTGGTTGGTGGTTGGAGCGATGTTGGAAGGAGTAGCAGTGGGGGAGAGAGCAAGCATGGCCATGAATGTGCAGAGAGGAAAAGCCAGGCGCTTAGCGCGAGCAATCGCGTGCATAGTTGTGGTGACCTCTGGCACGACAAAGTGCAAGCAGATGCAGGCCCAATGTGTATGTGTGTGCGTGTGCGATGGAAGATGTGAGTGGGAAGACTGGCTTCCCGAAGGGAAAGCGCTGGCCAGGCAAGTTTGTGCCCGCCGGAACGCAAAAGGATCGCGGGGCAACTCACCGTGCAACGCAAAAGGCGACCACGAAGTAAGTGGTCTTGTGTGGGGCCGACCTGCGGCAACACCACGATGAGCAAGGCGGCGCCGCTGCTCCTCAGGCCCGGGAGTGGTTGGCTCGGCGAAGTGGATGCCGGCGCTCGACAAAAATGCCAGGCATCGAGCAGCCGCAGCAAGACGAGGCTGCACGGCAACCCAGCGCTTTGCGGGGAAAAGGCTTGACCGGTTGTGGTGGTGGGCGAGAGTGAGCGGGCACACTGCAAACACTCAACGCCCCAACGTCTAACAACAACAAGCTTGAGCAAAGGAGGGGACAGCAGGAGGAGGGGGTGGGATGACGGTTGGCGTTTGGCCAAGAGGTTGGTACAAGTTTTGTGCCCGCTTCATGCCACGACCCGCTCAACGATCGAGCTCAACCGTGGGGTAAAAGCGCTGCTGGTGGCAACTATGCACGCACGCGTGCCTTTTGATTGACCTCTGTCATTTCGATTCAAAACGCGGGGAAAAACCGGACCAAAGGTGTCCCGAATTCAGAGGTTGCCCACCGTCCACCTGAATATGCATGAATGCATGTCGCTGCAACGGCCAGCCCCTGGGTCCGCTCGCGCTCGCTCATGTTCACCTTTTGCGGAAGGCGTACGCTTTTGCGTGCATGCATGCACATCACGTGTGTCTGGTTCCCCGCGGGAGCAGATTGACCTTGGGCTTGCCTGCTTCTACGCAGAAGCAGGAGTCGTTGGCAATGTCTGCAGCATCGAGACGACGACACAATCGTTGCTGGGTATGTGTAGCAGGTGAAGCGGGCACGTTGAGCGGGCACCGGGGCATGAATGACGAGTTGCCCCGACGCCTCACTGGGCCTACCGGCCAGCACCACCTTGCCCCGTGCCGTGGCCCACACACATGGCCGCCCGCTTACACCGGCCAGGTGTGAGTAAAGGGTGAGCAAGCCCGATGCTCAAAGAAACACGGGCGCAACCCCTCGCACACGTCCACCCGGTGATTGCCCCACCGCCGCTCAACCCCAACCGTCGCCGGGCAGGGCATGCGTGCATGCTAGCTCCTGTTGAATCATTGCATGCATGCTTTCTCAACCTGACAAAACGCGAAAAGTGAGGCGCGAGCAGCTTGCTCACTGAATCATTGACGTTGTTGGTGGTGTTCGCCTGAACAGTCAGCGAGGGGTCACAAGGGTTTGGTCACGCGCCGTCTTGGGTGGCATGGGAATCTGACTTTGTCACTGCATTCACCCTCTGCTTGTTGATCGCTGCAGTGCCAGTGCTTCGATGCCCCATAGGCTTGAGTAACAAGCATACTTATGGCCTCGGATTTCGGCGATCGCCTCATGGACTGTTTGGAGATGGTGGTCAAAAAGGAAGCAGTCAAGGCATCTGGCTCAATTGGCACTCGAATTCGGCTTGACGACAACACTGAGCCACAGATCGATTTGACCTCTCGAAAAAGAAAAAGACCAAAAAAAAAAAGGAAGGGGGTGAACACCGACAGACAGGCTCAAGGCTCGTGCTGGAACTGCTCACAGGGTCGAGAGCCACACCGCTACACACAACCACACACACACACACACACACACACACACATGCTCACATAAACACGCATACACTCAAGAAGCACAGCACTCATGCTGAGCCTGGTCCACTGGACACCACGCAAGCAACGTGCTCGCGCAGGGCCATGGCAATCATGATAAACGACGACAATAAGAGTAATAATGCTGAAAATAATATGTTATGGACGCGCTCGTGCCCGGGTCAGTTCTGGAAGCTAGCAAAGCACCAATAGAACACCACGCCAAAGCAACAAGAAAGAACGCAACGCGCCCCAAGACCAAACAACAAGGAGCGACAAGAGAGGGGGTGTCGACGGCCCATAAGATGAAGATAAAAAAAAAAAAAAGAACACACATGACCCTGAACGCGATCAAATGGACAACAGTCGGGCCCGTGGGGTACGAGAAGGGGCAGTGGCTTGGACGCGCTCGTAATGACGACGCAGACACTGCTGCTGTAGCGGTGACAACACCGCATCCAGCTGGCGCCGCACAGCTGCCACGGCCTGGGCACGGGCGCGCAACGGCCGGGATGAAGCCTTGGACTCCAACCACACAGCGTCACCCAAGGGTTTTTGGGTAGATGTACGCGACTCAGTAGCCACATGACCACGCTTGGAGAATCCGCGGTCCTTATCAGGCTGTCCCGCCGAGATGGACCTGCTGGCGCTGCGCTTGTGCTTGATGGCACGACCTACACTGTCGAATGAGCCATGTCCATCATCTGGCTGGCTGCCAATCGCCGAATCTAGACTCCAGCGCTTGACCTCTGACTCGGCACAAGGCGTCGACCGGGGCTGATCCAACTGATGCAACGGCGTTGACGCTTCGGGCCCAGACTCACTGGTGTCGCTGACCTCCACATCACCCTCGCCACCAGACTGATCAGAGCCCGAGTCGGGTGTCGTCGAGGCAAATGGGCTCGAATGCTCGGGCCAGCTAACCCACGAGCCGGAAGTCAAACCAGCCGTGGATCCCGCCGTCGACGCTGCTTCCCATGCTTGCACGCTGGACATGGTGTCACGGAAAAAGGCCATACGGGCCGGTGCATCAAGCGCGTCCCAGTCGAAATGTTTGCTCCGCACGATCCCATCAGCACTGCGCAACGGTGTCTGTGGTGACCCCTTGGCCAAGCCCGAGGAGCGCGGCCCACGGCCGCTCGTCTGCTCTAGCGCCAACGGGGCGGGAGCCCGCACAGGCACATGCTCGGGCACGGGGCTCAGGGGTGGACGAAACCGGGGCGGGCGACGACAGCCGCCCATGTTGCCACGCTCACAGCCGCCTGGCATGCCTGGGGCCGACCACAAGCGCAGCACACGCGGCCCCGGCGGTGAGCGCGCCATTGCCTTGGATACGGCTTCGACATTCGACTCATCCTGTGCCTCGGCATTGGCTTGGTGATGCGCGGCAAAGGCCTGGCGACGAGCTGCGGCCGAGGTGCATGACGAGGATGTGCTGGGTGGCTCGAGCCCATTCGGAAGCCAAACAGAGCATTCGGGGTCGGGTTGGATGTCGGTGCGACCTTCGCCCTCAAAGTTGCTGGCGTTGGTCTTGTCGCTATCGTCGTCATCGTTGTCGTCGCTGCCCCAGCTGCCCCAACTGCCAATCTGCTGTAGTTTGGTGCGTGCGCGGGATGTGGCACTCGGACTCGAGACTAAGCTCAAGGCTGGGGCGCCCAGCTCAAACGATGATGGGAAGGAGTCGGAGGACTGCTCACGATCAACGGCCATGGGACCAACGTGTGCCTGAGTGCCACGCAACGCCGTCTGACGGGCATCAACGGCCACGCGGAGCAGCCAAGCATGCTGAATGACGCTCAGTCCACACGTAGAGGCCAAGTCCCGCACTGCCAAGATGGTGGAAGACTCGCAGCGCCGGCGATATTGGCGGAGGCGCTCGCGTTCGGGCCGTGATGAGCGTAGCGGTGGTGCAGTGATGGTTGCGAGGGCTGGTTTGGCGCTGGCCAGGGTGCAAGCGTTGACCGTGGCCGCCAGATCCACCTGGGGTGAACTGTCCGATCCCACCGTCCGTGGCACAGGGCTCGCGCCTCCATCTTGAGCTCGTGGTGGTGGTGGCGATGGTGGTGGTGATGGTGGTGGTGATGGAGGATGATCGACAACATTGGGCGTCATGGATACGCTGCTTGGTGGCGTGATGGGTACCGGGGCAGCCGAGACACTCAACCGTACTGGTGACGGTGAGCGACGGGGCGTTGACGTGCTTTCGCTGACGCGCCAGCGGCGCTGGCGAAGACGCGCTGCCAGCTCAGGAGCCTCACGGTCATCATCTTCCCGATCAGCCTCGTACACCAACGCCTCGCGGGACAGGTTGTAGGGGGAAGCCGCCTCGCTGCGGTCACTGGCGTCGGCGTGCTCTAGCTCAAAGTCCTGCGCCAAAACATCTCGGCAAGAGGTGCCAAGGCTGGCCGTGCGTGCATTTACACCAACATTTGGTAGAGTGGCACGGCGCGAATTGTGGGAGGACGCGTTGGGCGAAGCAGCTGGTGTGGACGACATGGGGGTGATGAGGGCTTCAGCTAATGGGGAGCCGCTGACATCGTCCTCGTCATAAATTGAGCTTGTGTTGAGGCTGGCCGCAGGGCTGACACTGCTGTTCTTGTCCAAAAGGGGGCGCAGTGATGGCGGCTGGGCCTTGGGGCGCCTTCGCCGGCCTGGGGCGCGGGGTACGTTTCGAAGCTGCTGCAGCACGGGCTGGGGCAGATGCGCTGCCGATGGGGAAGGACTGCTAGCCTTTGCTTCAGCCGGTGCGTTGTGCGGGGGGTTTGGAATGGAGGCTGAGCGGTTGAAAAGGGGGGCATGGCTGTGATCATCGACATGGGGGCGATTCGAGTCGGCGAACATGTCGGCGAAAGAAATCATCGAGCTTTGTGGGCAATATTGCAAGGTGCCAGATGTGCTAGCCAGTCGAAAACCACAAATGCAAGCGCTGCCGTCACGCGTCAAGCCGCCGAGAGGATGGAGGCCTGGGTGTGGAGGTCGTGCGACGCAAGGGAAAATCCCAGAGCCCAGTGGCGGGCCAAGGCACAAACGCAGAAGTGTCTTGTCGCGGCAGAGCCGGGCGCGGCAGGGCAACGGCGAATGGTAGATGCCCGAGCTGGTGGGATGGGAAAATGCGCGGAAGACGGGGCTGCCTCAAGTTATTATGCCAACAGCAGCGAGATTGAAGAGCTGGAAAAGCAGCAGGAAGGAAGAGGAAAGGGTGCTGGGGGGTGGTGGTGGTGATGAGAATTCAACTCGTCCGTATTCTGCCAGAGGGGCTACCCGTGGACGCTTGTCGGTGACATGCGTGGGCTCATGGGCCTGTGGCCTGGCGGAAGCAAACTAACAAGAGGGTTCTCTGCGAGGGCACGTCACACATGGCATCCGAGTGAGGATGGCGTAGTCGCAGAGGGCGATGATGGAACCGTCAAAACAGGAGACATGTGCCACAGGGTCAATGGTCCGGGGTGGGCAAGGAACGACCCCAAGATGATGTTGTTGTGGGGACAAGCACACAGACAGCCATCTCAATGGCACACACACACACACACCTTGGAAGAGGCTGAGAAAGAGCGTCTGGCGTGGGGAAACGGCGAGTCGGTCGAAGATTCAATGCCGTCTCGGCACAAGTTGTGAGGGCCTCGGGGCGGGTGACCTCGGCTGTCCAAGTCGGTATGGGGCAGCAGAAGCAACTGGATGGGGGCTGAAAAGGGGGGGGAGGGGAGGGGTGTCGTGTCGTGTGAGCTCGCTCGCCTTGATGGGCCCGGATTGGGACGGACGAGGAAATTGTCGCGCAGCCTGCAGCCGTTTGATCATCACACCCAACCAGACACAAAGCGCGCGACACACACGCACACACACAGAGCAGCGTGCCACCCGTCAACGGCGGAGCGGCGAAAGGAGAAAAATAAGAGGAAGAAGAGCAGAGAAGTAGCACAGTCAGCCAACTCGACGAGCGCACACACACACACACACACACACACACACACACACACACACACGATGGCTGACGAACAAGTGTGTGCGCGCGCAAGGGGCTGGACAGAACAGAAACAAGCGCACGACTGAATCATGACAGGGGCCCACACGAAACGGGGTAATAGGGGGCAGATGGGACACGCACACACAATCTCTCTCTCTCTCTCTCTCTCTCTCTCTCTCGCTCAAATCGGCAGAAGAACAAGGTAGTGGGCTGGGAGGTGATGTGCGTCTGCTCTGACCTGGAGGCGGTGGCCTTCATTGCCCGTGAGCAGCGAAGGGGCGCGGCGCGATACGGCGGCGAGATGCGGGTCGCCTCGATTCTTCAAGGCGGAAGCAAGTGACATAAAAAATTTAATTTAATGTGCGGGGGCATGTCAGGGCGGAAAGCCGGCAAGAAAATACACGGGAAGCTGGCGATGGACGTCGGAGCGGGATCCGATCGCGCGCTTGGCCGCCAGCGTCCTTGATCCAAGCATCATCATTGGCGTCTTGATGTGGGGGGATGACGATCGCCGCAGGTTGGTGGTGATCATGATGATGGGGAGGGGAAGGAGAGGACAGCAGAGCCAACAAGAGTGGGGTGCAGCGACAGCTTGCGTTTGCATGGGACAGCCCCCTTGGTTTTGGGCCGTTTGCCATCACACTCACACAACCGTCTAACGGCTGATGGTGTCCGCCGCGACTGGCTGTGCCTACCGTCGTCGACCCACGGTCCAATGTAGACGCGGCGGAACTCGCCGTCAGGTAAGAAGCTCGCCCACGGTGATCGGAGGACGTCACGAAGCCTGATTTGCATGGAGAGGATTGACTGTGCCGGGCCCGACAAGCGCCCGAACAATGCCGTCATCGGGTGTGTGATGAGATGGGAGGGACGCCTGGGCCGCCCCATGATCGGACTGCGAGGCTATGGGGTCGCCCACGTTTGAGCCCATCGTGTTCATGACGTCCAAGGTGGCTTGGACGAGCGGTCAAGGCGAAGGCCGAGGAGGGCAGCAAGACGGCACAAGGGACGATGATGTCGATGATGATGATGATGATGATGGTGCACAGGGTCAAGAGCTCCGACGTTACAAGGATGCTGGTGTGTTCACACTCCCGTCAAACACATGTCATTGAATTCTCCCTCAACCCCAACAGTACCCATAAAGTACCCATGTCCTCTAAATCTCTCTCTCTGTCTCTCTCTCTCTCTCTCTCATCTCAAACTCTCTGTCTCTCTCTCTCTCTCTCTTCACTGTGATGATCAGCATTGACGATGCTGTGTCAGAGTGTGCAGCCAAAGCCTGAACCAGACGAAGATGTGGGGGAACGGGGGAACCAACGGGGCGCGTGTGGCCAGGCTGGGTATGGGTAGTATGTTTGGCCCGTCGCCAAAAGGGACGAAGAAGGGGTTTTAGGGTCGTATGCCGAGTCGTGCGTGCTGCAATCACCGCTTGTCGGGCCCGACCACGTGATCGCACTCGATCCGATCCGGTTGTTCCGCCCGTCCTTCTCGCCTCCCGCAGAGCAAGGTGAGAAAAAGCCAGCTTCGACTGAGACTCCGCCCCACACACACTGCAGCCTTGCAAGTGCACGAACAAGAGAAAGCTATCAAAATCCAAGGTGTAAAGTTCATTTTGTATTATTCAAGCGATTTTTTTGTGGATTTTATCGATAATTTTTGGCGCCATAGTTCAGTTCGACAACTCGTACATCGTGGCGTCCCGGTGCCATGCTGGCATGAGCCGCCTGCCGCCTGCCCTGATCAGGCCGCACCCGAGTCTATATTGGTTATTTTGCAGCGAGAATGCGAGAACATAATGCCATTCTCTTCTCTTCTATTCTCTTTTCAAACAACCGGATGAGCGAGCCAGCTGACTGTTTTGTTTTCTTGGGACTCGACGTCAAACTCTGCCTTACTCGCCTGCATGGAACCTGCTCGCTCGCTCACCCCCACCAAATGCGTGCGCCACGCACGCACCAAACAGAACAACCTGCAAATAGGTTACCACTACTCTAGCGCAAGAATGTGCCGGCATGTTGTGCCAGAACTAGGTTCGCCTTGAACCCTCCTGCCTCCTAGACTGCAAGGGGGTGGAAAAAACAAACGCCTGGACCGCATGCGCCACCCACAAGGTCTTGATTCGATTAGACATCTCAGACGTCTCCTAAGATAAAAATGGCTGGTGCAAAACGACAGATTTTTCTGGAAACTCCCGCCGAGGCTTACTCGGCCTCCAACTGAGCCTCCAACTCCACGATGCGCGCTTGAGCGGCATCAAGCTCCTCCGACAACTCGGCCAACTATCGTAGAGCACGCGGACATCCACCGTGTCGTCAAATTCTTACAAGCACCCGTCCCGCCCCTCGCATCTGAAGCACATGCAGCCAAGCCAAATAAACGAGACGACAGACCTGTTCTGATAGCTGCAAAATCAAATGCTGGCGAGGATCCTCGTCCTCCTCGTCCTCCTCGTCCTCTTCTGCTCCTGCGCCTGCCGGACCAGTGGCGCTCGCGGTGTCATTCGGGAGGTCGGCATCCGAGCCCGTGTCGCGATCATCTGCCTCATCGTCTTCAACCTCGGCTTCTACCAAAGCCCGCGAAATTCGGCGCGGGCTCGTTGTCTCCTCGTCCGCTGCATCGCCGCGGTGGCCCCGAGGCCGCGAAACTGGGGCTGATTGGGCTCGACGCAGTCGAGCCTCCAGCGCTTCCGTTTGCATCTGCGCACTCTGCAGTTGCATTTCCAACTCGAGTATACGTCCTTGCATTCCGGCGCGTTGCTCGGTATGACGTGCTTTCAGCCGCTTGACCCGCCGCACGTACTAACCAGAGCCAAGGACACAGACAAACACAAGCCGAGTTAACCCACACACACACAGGACGCGCATCCCGCGCACAGTGCAGCTCCACCAACACCAGCAGCCGCGCCTGACACACGCGAACCTTTTGCTTCAACACTTCGTGCTGCTGCCGTAGATCATCCAACTGCTGCTGCACCAGTTCAGACCGCTGCAGGCCGGGCCATTCGAGACAAATTCAAGTTGAGGGAGCCATGTTGCAGCACACGATTCTCCAGGAACAGCACGTCATGATGGCGTGTACGCGTGCGAATGGCCTTACCCGAGCCTGAGCGGCAGCGGTACCAGGGCGGGGAAGGGCCACGACACTCAGAGCAGGCGGCAAGAGGCCCTGGCTGATCCGTGCACTGGGCGCTTGTGCTGCTGCGTCGTCAAGGTTGGCATTTTCGGGGGGAGTTGGCGGCTCCCAAGCATCGCGAAGGTGCGGCCGGGCCTCAAGCAGACGCCGCAGAGCTGCCGTTTGCTCAGAGGTGGTGGCCTCAGTGTCAAAGAGTACCTGCCGCTCCAGCTGTTTGGCCTGAGCCTCGGCCTGCGCTCGTCGCGCTTGCTCCTCGCGCATGGCATCGCGCAGCATGCGAAGCTATTCAACGCCATTGCAACACGCCAAAAACAACCAAGTGAGGGATATGTTGACAGCGGGCGAATGACCAACGGGTCGAACAGCAATTGCGCGCTGACCTGCTCCTGCAGCTCAAACGTGGTGCGGCCCTCTCCCGGTGCATGACTGGTGGGTCCCAGGATAATCGGTGCAGCAGTCTTGCTGGTCTGCTGCTCGGGCGGTGACGGGGGCGGCGGTGGTGTTCGCGATGTGCTCCAGGCCGTGGCGGTGGCCGCGGCTGCGGGCTTGTTAAGAGCCGCGCGCGGTGGCTCGTTTTCGCGCTGGTCTCGGTCAGTCGGGGGTGCAAAGTCACGAACTGCAGTGCTCGTACAGCACCCCATCGTGCAGGTGCTGGACCTGGCGCCCGTGTTGCGAGTGTCGCGGTGTGGCCCGACGTGCGAGCCCAAGTCTGTCTATCCTTGCATCACGACGACGTCCTTCTGCCGAGCGCAACTGCTGCGAGATGGCAGATAGCCCCCGACTTGGCTCTCAATAGAAAGCTTGCTGGCGCTTCTTTGATGAGAAGCGGGCAATTGGAAATGAAGAGAGAGAAGGAGAGAGGGAGAGAGAGAAGGAGAGAGAGAGAGGGAGAGAGGGAGAGAGAGAGAGGGAGAGAGGGAGAGGGAGAGAGGGAGAGAGGGCAAGAGGGAGAGGCAAAGCAGCAGAGGAGCCGCGAGCGCCGTCAGTCGGGGGGTGGGAGTGAGCTGCGAGGGGGGCGTCCAGACGTAAAAAATTTGGCTCGAACCCAAAAAATTTCAAGACTAAAAGACGTGAAATCAACAGTTGTGGTCGCAAAACTATCATTAAATGCACCGAATAAACACGTTTATGTATATTTCAAAACCAAAACAGTGTAACTTATTGTATGAGAAAAAACACGTATAGTAACAGATATTTTAAAAGTCGAAGGTAGTATAGAACGTGCCGGCTTGTTGATGTCAAGGAACACGGCTTGCGATGTTGTTATGGTTCAGAACACCAGTTGTGAGTACAGGTTTGTCAGATAATATTGAATGCATGCATGTATGCAACTTACCTGGCGGTGACTGGAGCAGATCTGTCTTGGTTGTCTGGGGCGATATGCAGTCTCATGTCAGCTTGGCGGCCTGGGCTGTGGCTGATCGCGCTGCACTCGTGTACGTGATACGCTCACAAGGGGACACGCTCACAAGGGGACACGCTCACAAGGGGACACGCCAGCTGGTGCTTGTCACCGGCAGCAATGTGGTCCGCAAACGCCCCTTTATCTGCTTCTTGCTTCTACGTCTCTGGCCGCGTCCCCAAAAAAACGCCACTCCTCCTTACACAGAGGAGAGTCTTGACATCACACTCTCAATGACTTGCCTCCTTCCGATCGCAACTCGAGAGATCGTCACGTTCAATCTTTCTATCCCCAAAGTGAACGTGGCCATGATCGGCGGCGTCATCTTGCACCGAGCGTCTAAAGATCGAGCCATTTTTCTTTTGCAAAGCCATCAAACAACATGAGGACCTCCTTTTGCCGCTTGTATGTCACTGTGGGGTTGACCATCGCCCTGGCCAGCGCCATTGGCACGACCCCACGGCCCATCACGACGCGCGCTCAGACACCTACGCCTTTTGTACCCTCGCTGGTCCCAGCCAGTCTGCTGCTAGCCCTTGAAGTTTGTATTGCCATTTGTGCCCTCAATTCGCCGTTGATTCACCCAAGGATTCAGCTCTCAAGCACGTGTGATGCGTCATAGAACAACCATGCTCGCGGTGTGCAGCTCCAATCCAATGCCTCTGGCTATTCGCTCGAGGGTGGACACGCCCATGGCTTGACTTTTGCCAAAACCGGTACGTTGGGCACTGCACGGGCCCACGATATGCTTTAGAGGGAGCAACATGTAGCTCAAGCTTGACGGTCGACTGGGTACCATCCTAGTTGGACGCTGCAATTGCAAAACCATGACCAAGTGCTCGGATCCAGTCGGCCTTGGCTGTCTTCAGCCTTTCACTTGCTGGGATCCCACCGGAGAATCTTGCATCACCTTTAGCAGCTGTGATCAGAATGATTCGGATCAAATGAAGAAGAAGGTGACCGTCAAACCGCTTCACAGTCGATCCCTTTCCGAGCCGGTGACAACAGGCGGAGCCAACGGAACTCATTCCATGCGCTGTGAAAATGCGGAACCAATAATCGATCTAGTTCAAGTTTGCGGCAGCATGTGACGGCCAGGGTGGCCCCGATCTCTCCAACAAGAATCGCCGCCGAATTTACAAAATTTTGCGAGACGCGATTCAAAGCTGTCCGCAAGTCAAGGTGGGTTGGACTGAGCACCAAAGCTCTTCAACGCATTAGCCTTAACAAGCCCGATCAAGAGATGAAACTCATGTGGAGTTTTGGACACCTGCCCCGACGATATGATAGCCTTGCCGCATCCTGCTCCGCAATGAAGACGATCTTCAGCTGGCCGATGACAACGACCGTGGGTTGAATCGCTATCGCGTGAAGGTGCAAGTTCGCTCGAAGAAGGTTAGTTGGGTGGCATACCCGCGCCCGGATAAGCCAGACATTTTCTTTTCTTTGGGGGTGGGGCGGGGCATTGGCAGCAAAGTAGCGCTTTTTGCCTGTGCGTCAAGATTCAAACGCGGACGTTTTTGTACTGCCATGCAGGATAAGAAGCGTCTTGCTCAATGCATAAGAGAAGCCGATGTCCAAGACCTAATTCGAGGGCCATGCATGGTGGCCACCAAACCAGACCTTCTTCCTCTAACCACCTCGACCACCACGACCACCACGACCACCTCGACCACCTCGACCACCTCGACCACCTCGACAACCTCGAGCACCTCGACAACCTCGAGCACCTCGACCACCTCGACAACCTTGATCACCTCGACCACCTCGACCACCCTGCCTTCAACAACATTGGCATCAACGACATTGGCATCCACCACTCAAACGCAGACGACGGATTCGACATCGACCTCGACAACATCAGTTTCCACCACCACAACCACCTCGACCACTGCCCCCATCGAATATTGCATTTTTCTCGATGGGTTTTATTTCTTCTCCATTTCCACTGTCGAGGAATTGGACACACCAGGAGACGTACAATCTATTGAACTCTCAGGAGAGACTAATGTAACTTATGTTGGTTCTCTAAATGGTGACTATCTGCTTGCCATCACAAGCAACACAACCGATGTCATCAACCTTGGTCCCTACAATGTCTCGCTGACACCTGGCAACACAACCTTCATCAACGTGGGCAACTGGTCTGGTACAGCCACCTTCTTCAGCACTGGCCAGACCATTGAAGTCGCCGTGGAATCACCAAGCGAAATCACGCCTGTGCCATGCGAAGGAGTGTGCTTTGCAAGCACGACCCGTATGATGTTGGCCAACGGCAGCTGGGCGGTGCTGACGGACCTGACGACGGGCGACATGCTCAAGTGCATCAGTGATGTGGACTCGAGTGTGGTGGACTGCCCGCTGACGACGGTAACGCATGTGGGGCACTCGACGGCGTTCTCGGTTGTGGCGCTGCAGTATGAGGACGCCCACGGAGTGGAGCAGGAGCTGCAGTTGTCGAAAACGCACTATGTGTTTGTGGCCAGCGAGTCGTTGGGGGCGGGGTGCAACACGCAACTACCGGCGGGCTCGTATGTGGAGGCGGAGGCGGTGGCTGTGGGGGATCTGGTGGTGGTGTTTGATGAGAGTGGATGTTTGTTGGTGACGAGTGTGACGGGGAAGCGGTGGGATACGGCGGTAGGATTCTATTCACCGCTGACGTCGATGAGCACTGTCGTGGCGGAGGGGCTGGTGGCCTCGAGCTATACGGGCGACTTTGGGTTTGCGCATTGGTTGCAGCACATCTTTCTGACGCCACTGCGAGAGACGGTTGAGAGCGACCGCGCGGTGGTTGATTATGCGGATGGGCATCATGCGTATACTGAGGCAGCGATGGGCCTGATGAGTGTTGATGGGGCGGTGTTGGCGGGGCAGGTCGAGGCGATGGTAGCGCAGTATGAGGCCAATGGGGGAACGTTGAGCCGAGCTGAGCTGGAGGCGATCTTTGGGCTTGAGCTGTGATGCTGAGCGGATCGAATCTATGGCACGTGTTGTGTTGTGTGTCTCCACCCCAAATTGGGTGCTTTCATTGTTCCTTGTCTTCTGCGAAACCATGCATCAGCATCTGGCCAATGAATTGAGTTGTGTGCTCTGCGTGCTACGCGATCACTAGGGCCCCTCCCCACTCGGCATAGGTCAAGCTCCTTTGCATAGTGTGCTTGCAGTAAGTGACGCTACAATCTTGCCGTGTGTGCATCGGCACACACATACATTCTTCACATCAAGCCGTCACTCACCCTGGACAGCGTAGTTTGTGCTCGCATGGGAGCTTGGGACGAGTCACAGTGTTATTGGCTTTTTTCGCAATGTGATGGGCCTGCGTGGCAATCGGCATAATATTGACCTCGATCCGTGCAAGCCCACTGTGAGCAGCCGTGCATGAGCACGAGTCGCGATTTTGTAAACAAGGCACGGCGAGGCACGGCGAGGCATGCAAGCATCCAAGGTCAGCCTTCATCATCTCCCGCCAGAATCAACCAAGTTTTGCAAACCGCACGCACCCATCTTGAATTTCGAGTCCAGATAATATAATCAACTCCCCAGATGCCAATTGCGGTTATATGCCTGCATGCATGTACACGTTCTTAAAAAGACCTTTTTGTCCGACGCGGACACCGTCCATGTCCCTCGTCTCCAGATTTCGGCAAGCATGGGCTGGCCCTGACTAAAAACCTGGTCTGGCGGTTGGAAGCGCCTCGCGTTTGGGTTTGGGTTTTGGGGGAACGAAGGAAAAAGGAGTGGTCAGGATTGGTGCGTGGTCGAGCCTTCACGTCCTCTTCTCTTAACGGCCTAGGCGCATGTGAACACTCGACACGCCTGCTTGCAGTGTCAGTTGTGGCTTGATGCTTTTGCGGCACGGCTATTGGGTTTGGCTATGGTCCTGGTCGTTGCATTTTACTTCTTCGCCCTTTGAGAGAGACGTGTGCACCACATGCTTTGTTCTGCCGGATTGAACAAGCACATCAAGCCATGGGCATCGCAGCAGCGATGGCAATGTTCCTGCCACTTTTAGTGGCCGTTTGGTGGGCGTGCCCTGCACAGGCTGGCCCAATCAATCTGGATCTCCTCAATTTTTTTGAGCTGCAGCTTATTCAGGTGAGGTGGTGAGAGCATTAAATAGGATTGACTTGGTGGTTGTTGGTCAGTCCATGGGCATTGGATCAAGATGTGCAATCGCAGCCTCAAAGCCTGTTGTGACTCGTGGCATCACTGAGCCGCGAAACTTCCTCTGGGACTTGGACTCTGTTCATCTCACGGGTTCGAATCGATTGGCATGTGAATGCATGTAGCAACGCGGATGCCTGCAAACGGTGACTAGCAGCACGGGATATCGATGGGCCTCGGACATGGGCCAAGCTGGTCTGCGTGCCGTCCCTTGCACCCAAGGTCAGCCCCAGGATTGAATGAGGCAGACCTGGGACCCAACGTTGTTTTGATCGAGCTTGTAACTCTCTTTGCCCTCACCTTTGAGACTGTTCTCTCTTTTTACACTTGCAAATGACGGGATAGGTGGCTTTTGTGGAGCTCACCTGTTTGAGGTGTGCCTCTCTTCAAACAACGACGACTGCCGAGCCATCGAGACCTGCACAATCGAAGACAGCAGCTGCTTCTCGTTCGATACGATGGATGTGGCACCACTTCTTGGTCGGGTAGGTCGCTCAAGTCAAATCAACACACAAATGCACCATGTCTGTCGCATGGAGACATGGGCCTGGGGTGGGGATGAACACGTGCAACTTGTTGGGGAGCAGAAGCAGCATTGGAGCCGCCCTGTTGCTGGCTGGCTGTTCGCACGATGTTTGACTTGTGAGCTCATCTTGTTGATGGGTGACATTGTAGTCCCAATTCGAGTGTCGCGATGGCTTTTCGCTCAACAGCCTGAACCGCCGCAAGCTGAATCGATTTGTCGCGCAGTTCAAGGAGGTTCTGGTTGAGGAGTGCAACATCCAGGTGAGAAGACTTGATACGCATTGAAATGCATTGGAAGCCAGAAAGTCCAATCTCACAGCCCTTGGTGCGTGCATTGCTTGGATGTGTGCGCCTGTGTCACGTGTTGCATGCAGGCGTGTGGTATCAAGCTTGATACGCGTTTTGATCTGGACGTGAGTGGCAGCCAATTCGAGGTTGACTTGACCGATGGCAATTTGGAGACACTCATCGCCACGTGCCTGAGCTATAAGGAGGTTGAGCTGATGGGCTGCAACGTGGCTGCGATTGAAGCGTCAACCATGTCCACAACGACTAGCACCAGCACGACTAGCACAACCACTACTACCACCAGCACAACAAGCACGAGCACGACGTACTTGGACGCGTGCCTGGAAGCAGCACACGTACAGGAAGCATCCTTTGAAGGCTACCGACAGGCAAGAGGCAGCCGAATCGTGCATGCCAATGACCGGGTGTGGGCAGGTGCATGGGATTCAAGTGCCATGATTGTGCCTTGGGGCTTCTTCACTCCCGAGCTGGGCCGCCGAGGCGATGGGGAGCATGCAATGGTGCTCTTTGGAATGGAAGCGGACGTGTCGCAGACAACACGTCTTCAATGGACAGGCGGCGTCACATATGAGGTGTCATTGGCACTCGGTCTAGGATCAGGCTATTACGATAACGAATTGACCTTTGGCTTACGGGATGGCGAGGGCAACGTGGTTGTCTCGAGGACGGTATCGTCTGCCAACATGAGCAGCAGTTCCTTTGTGACGTATCGTGCCAGCGCCAGCGTCGAGTGGAGCTCCCCGAGCCTGGGTCAATTTGTCGAAGTGTTTTTCTCTTCGACTGGATCCCTTCCTTCAGCGGCAATCGACAGCGTGAGCGTTTGCATCTCAAATGTGGCGACCTCGACGACCTCGACCTCGACGACATCCACAACGTCGACATCCACAACATCAACATCCACAACATCAACATCCACAACGTCGACATCCACAACATCGACGTCCACCACTCAGACGCAGACGACGGGTTCGACATCGACCCCAACAACGCCAGTTACCACAACCACCACCACCTCGACCACTTCTACAACAACTAGCCCCATTGAATATTGTATTGACGTCAACGGACTTATTTATAGCATGGATGATTTGGAGGAGCCAGGCTCGGCTGTCTCCGAACAGCCGTCAAATCTCATTTTTCATAATGACGTGATAGCGGTGTGGTATGCTGGTTCACTGAATGGTGACTATCTGCTTGCCATGACAAGCAACACAACCGACATCATCAACCTTGGTCCCTACAATGTCTCGTTGACACCTGGCTACACAACTGTTGTCAACGTGGGCAACTGGTCTGGTACAGCCACCTTCTTCAGCACTGGCCAGACCATTGAAGTCGCCGTGGAATGTTCATTCGAGGTGACACCCGTGACATGTGTGGAGTCGTGCTTTGCAAGCACGACCCGTATGATGTTGGCCAACGGCAGCTGGGCGGCGCTGACGGACCTGACAACGGGTGACATGCTCAAGTGCATCAGTGATGTGGACTCGAGTGTGGTGGACTGCCCGCTGACGACGGTGAGGCATGTGGGGCACTCGACGGCGTTCTCGGTTGTGGCGCTGCAGTATGAGGACGCCCACGGAGTGGAGCAGGAGCTGCAGTTGTCGAAAACGCACTATGTGTTTGTGGCCAACGAGTCGTTGGGGGCGGGGTGCAACACGCAACTACCGGCGGGCTCGTATGTGGAGGCGGAGGCGGTGGCTGTGGGGGATCTGGTGGTGGTGTTTGATGAGAGTGGATGTTTGTTGGTGACGAGTGTGACGGGGAAGCGGTGGGATACGGCGGTAGGATTCTATTCACCGCTGACGTCGATGAGCACCGTCGTGGCGGAGGGGCTGGTGGCCTCGAGCTATACAGGCGGCTTTGGGTTTACACATTGGTTGCAGCACATCTTCACGACGCCACTGCGAGAGACGGTTGAGAGCGACCGCGCGGTGGTTGATTATGCGGATGGGTATCATGCGTATTCTGAGGCAGCGATGGGACTGATGGGTGTTGATGGAGCGGTGTTGGCGGGGCAGGTTGAGGCGATGGTGGCGCAGTATGAGGCCAACGGGGGAACGTTGAGCCGAGCTGAGCTGGAGGCGATCTTTGGGCTTGAGCTGTGATGCTGAGCGGATCGAATCTATGGCACGTGTTGTGTTGTGTGTCTTTTCTTCCAATCGTGTGTATTGTGCTCTCTTTGTGTGGTGATTGCTTGTTTCAATTGTTCACACGAGTTGAGCTGTGACTGCCCCTGCCTTGCATGTTCAAACTCACACGAGCCAAATGGTGTCTTAACGCGTGTACTGACTGTTCGATGTAAGGCGGCCTCCTTCCCCTTTGTCTTCTATTCAAGAATGTGTTGACGCTGCTTGGCGTGCAAGTAAATGCCAGGGTACGGGGAGAGCGAGGTGTGATGGTTGGTGGAAGACCACTACATCCACTTAAACAACGTGTATGAGAGGAATACAATTCGATGATGGTGCTGATAGAATTGGCAAAACAAACAAGTGCGCTCGGCGCATGGCGGGGCAAAAGGCCAAAGAAAGGTAAAAAAAAAAAAAAAAAGAAAGTCAGATCAGGGATACCAAGTCTTTGATGAGGCAGCGCTCAGCGGCCGGTCAATTTTGATGGGGTCGGTGTTTCGTGCGGCTCAATCGGATGTTGAGGAGAGGGAGCAGGCATGGATGGTGATGCGGCGGTCTTGAATGTGGTAGGCAAGGTTGAGGCCGGCGTAGCGCAGATGATAGGTGGTTTCAGGGGCTGCACGTTGTCGCTGGTTGAGGTTGCGAATGTCAAAGCGCAAAATTTGATCGATTTGGCGCCGAAGCAGGGTGGCGGAGGCCTGGGCCGGGGTGGCGGGATGTCGCCATGGGATTTTGGAGGGGAGGTGGGTGCAGGATTGAGCGAGCTGGTCGAGGGCGGCAGGCAACCAGTCGACGCTCATGGCAAGGAGAGTGTTTTCTTCATCGACCCAGGCGGGGAGGGTAGCGTCCTGGACGGCCTCGACGTGGGGTAAATAAGGTTTAATGTCCAGGACGGGGGTGCCATCCACGAGATCATGACCGGCAATGGCAATGCCGGCAGCGCTCACGGCGACGATGCGAACGAGGGATAGACCGATGGGGTGGGACGATGAGGGCT